CATTTGCAGAAAACTAATACCCTGAAGGCAAGGCCACAAAGGAACAGAAACCACTTCAAAACTGAAAGATTATCTGCAGTACTTTTTTTCTATGCAGTATTTTCCCAAATCCAGTTCAAACCCTAGAGGAATGAGAGACTTCACAGCCTTTCTGTGCTGAAATACTGCTATGTTGCTACGTCTGTTACTAGGCAAAACATGTTTTAACAGCCTAGAAAACATTTTCAAAACACAAGAGAAGATTTTACTGTTTGTAAACTGGGTCTGAGCTTCTTTTCTTTGAGATTAATGAAACTCTTAATACTCCTAAATTCTCACAGCTACTGAGAAACAAAATCAGACTAGCTTGGTTCTATTCAGGACTAGGGGAAACGTGGTACAGCTTTGTGAATTATCTCCTCTTCATGCCCGTGAACACGGAGTTAAACCCAGGTGGTCTTTTGTGGGAGGGAGGAAGGAGGAAATGCGTAGCATAGGGGAAGCAGTGAAGTTGATTCATGGTAAACCGTACAATATTCCCATCTATCCCATTTTTATGAGGGGGAAGTGTTTGCAGTTATGTCCAGCGTCAGCAGATCCACCCAGGAGCACAGCATTACATACTGAACCAATGGAATGGATCTATCTGTAGAAGATGGTCCCCCTTTTTCAGGCCAAGATGCTGGGAAAGAACACCAGTTTAATGTTGGGGAGTTTTGCCACCTGTGTCAAGATCAGCACCCATCTCTTACGCTTATCACTCAGAGAACAGCGACCAAAAAAGCATGATGCCTGTAATTCTAAGTGTTCTGTTTATGGACAGCGATTTGCCCAGTCTGAGTAATGCAGGGGCCAGAGAATTATCTTGATTTTTCTAGGTCTGGATCTCTTCTGAAACAGCCCCTTGGGGCTGCAGCTTGAATTCAGAGTTATATGCAGAAACTCAAGTAACACTTAAAATCTTATATATTTATATATTCATGCACATATGTGCAACCAGAGTTAAAACAAAGCATGCAGGATTTTTTCTCATACTAGAATTTTAACTTTCTGTTTCTGAGGATGTTTTGGAAGAGTTTAAATTTTGACATGAAACTTTAAAAACGGTAAATCACTGAACTCGCAGATTCTGGAGCCACACTGACTTCTGCATCATGTAGGCTAGAGTATTTAAACTACTTATCCCTGTATTAGTTCCAATAATTGAATTTTGGTCAAAGGCCTTCTGAAAAAAACTGCAGTCCATCACTAAATTTTCCTATATTTACCATTTTGGAGAGATACATGTTATGCATAATTTTTTTTATTTGGTTGTACGTGCATAATAATTTTAAGGGATCCCCTGTGGTTTCAGTGGCCTGTAAACTACACTGTGCTTCCCCTTTTATTAACTCTCAGGAAAACTATCAACACCTATATAGGATTATCACACAATAATGAGAGGTGCTGGCAGTCAGATTAGATGTGTGGGTACGACCACTGGCAGTAGATCCATAACGAGATGAGGTACAATATTTCAGGGCAACAGGGAAAAAATAGTTGTGTGAAATCTCTTTCTAGAGGAAGCCTGTTCTTGTGTTTAGAGTCTTGGGACACTGGGGATCTGGTTAGACTTTTGTGTGACCCTGGGTAAAATGCTTGTCTTGGTGCCCAAATTGCAAAATGGCAACCATAACATCACCTTTGCCTTCTTTCCTTGTTTAAATCAGAATCTACTTGGGATAGGGACAGCCTCCTCCTGTGTGACTAGACAGTACGTAATATAATGGGCTAATTGCAAAACAAAAAAAGAATGTTGGTGTGCTGACAAAACCCACCAAAATAGACCAGCTCATCGTGGTAATAGTCCAAAGTAATGACATACTACAGTGGTTTGAGCGATTGCCATCCACAGGTAAACGCATCCAGAGGTGGTTTGTACATCACTGTGTCACCATGTAATTTTGAGTAGCCCATCTGAATTGAAGCTCTTGCTGGGAAGGAGGAAAAGAGACAGACGTCCGTCCAGGAGCACACAACAGAGCTGCTTTTCTACCTGTGCTGACAAGGACTTTGGTGGGGAGTGGGGAAAACCTCTGGGGTCAGTTGTGGGACACTGACACCAGTGGAGTTCCATTCATTTCAATTAATCTTAGTTCAGAAAGGAAGGATATGTCCTTCTTTGAGGGACCCTTTACCCCCAGTCCCCCATAAACCACATGCAGGCTGGACAAATAAAGGCTTATAAAATAAATGCCTTGATTTAAACAAAAGATCCACAGCAGTTTTGCACCCGAAGAGTAAACAACTATGACATCTTCTCTTGGTTTCAGCCTGGCTCATACCATTTTCTACCCTTAACTGAGCTAGTCTATACTAACCGTCCAGTAATAGTTGGAAATAATATTTAGTTTTTTACCTTTGATTATTTTAACACACATAGGGTAGAAGTGGCTTTCCCAAAGTAACACATAACCAGGAAAATAAAATTAACATGAGAATCCTCAGCTCCTGTCAGTTTTGCAAGCCCAGGATCATCCTGGCCACCTGAGCTCTTATTGCTGCCATAAACTGTAAGCATGGAGAAGTATTATCAAATAATTAACAATTTCAGTTTTGAAAAGACAAAAGCTGACCTGCCCATTGGCAGGGATGGGAGGTACGTGAAGTTACTTGAGCTGAATTAGAAGCTGAAAGTTTGGCGATGTGAGTACTCCCCAGGATCTCAGTACTGTCTCAATACCACACCTGAAAACAGCACTCTTGTCATCAGCAGGTAGCTCCCGTGTCTCTTACCCAGGCTTTGACAGTCCTCTCTTTTCCCCTGCCCCAGTCATTTCCCTTCTCCCACTCCCCCCCACCCCCCAGCTCTAACAAGAAGCCAGGAGGCCACTGATGGCTTTTTGTGACATGCCTGACAGACTAGTCTGACAACTTGGGAGCTTTGTTGTGCGTAAGCCATCCAAACAGATGGTCACCACTTTTAAGTATCAGCCTGGCTCGTATTTGTATGCAGCATCTACAGGCACAGATCTGAAATCTCCCCATTCCGCTGAATTCTGTCTCCTGTTGCAGCTGTGGCTTTGGGGTAGGAAAGAGGAGGGGTGGGAGAGTTCTGGGAGAACACTCAAAAGGGCTTTGCTCTAAGGCTACTTCTCAGTACCATCTTTGGGAGACTGGGTCTTTTTACCTTCTTGGCAACTTGGTAATCTTCCATCCACGCTTACAGAGTAATATGCTGTGAGTTAAAAAGCAGCTTCTGGGAAGCAGTGACCTTTAGGGAATGTCCTTTTTCCCCGTGAGGTCCTATCTCCCACGCGTCCGACCTTGTGTGCTGTTCCATAGCGTACCCTTGGTGGCAGTACTTAGTTGTTTGGTTTTACTTCTGTTTTGCTTCTTATCTGAATTTTAATGATGAATTATATGTAGTATTTCCATAAGGCTAGAATAGGGGCACTAATTGCTACTTCAGATCAGCCAAGCAGTCCCCCTCTGAGCAGACAGCTGACTTGTCAAACAGGGTTATATCACAGTATCTTGAATTTAGTATCAAGACAGTTTTACCCATCTGGCTGGTTATATTTGCAATAAGTACTCTTTGCAGTTGGGTATATTTTACCCCTTTCTCCGGCTTGCCCTCTGTGTTTAACTTTCCCTATCTTGTATAATGAAGCTTTGGGTCCATTTTTGTCAAATATTAGCATTTTCTAGGGCAAGGATATGAACCACAGACATAGTTCCTCAGCTAACATTTAGGTAAGACCAGAGCTGGCTGTCAGCCTTGATGGCACTGTTGTACAGGTAATAACTAGTTTCATTCACAATATCAAGCTGTTTTTTTCTCTAGCTACACTGAAAGACGCACATCTGTTTCTCCAAACAAGCAGAGCATGAAGACACCAGTCTCCTACTATCTGAATTTGCATTCATTGTATATACGTGCTGTATGTTGATTTCAATAGATAACTAAATCACTGACAGACATAAGGAGTGTAAGCAGGACAATGGAAAACACAGATTAGGTTTTCTGTATGTGCTAGCGGATCCATGGCAATCTCATGAACCCACAGATGACATATGTCCTTAAAACTTCATGTGCATACTTCTATATTTATAAGAAAACTGCACAAAGGCTGCAAAACCACCGAGTTCTGATTGGTATCAACAACAAAAGGAAAAAACTTAAGCAGATCAAGGAATCATCCAAATCCCCACTGATTTCATTTGCATCCTAAGGCGCACAGTCCCACTTCAGGAGTCACTACGTTTGAAACTGGGAGCGTCACTATTAAGCTATCATTAGGTTGCCGCCTAATTAATTTAAAGCATAAGCACATGCAGGGAGATTACACCAGGGCATTGTTAAATTGGGCAAGAAACCCCCACCACTTTGGACTATGGCAATTTTCTTGTATCGCTCCGTTCCTTTTTGCTTGACTTGTGCGCAGATGAACAAAAATCTCCCTCCCGGGTGACCGAGTTAGCCAAAGCAATTGCACCGCGGACTCCTTATTTTCCAAGCCTAGGGACGACGGGTTCCGATTTCTATGGGGGACGGGGGGGGGAGTGGTGCGTGTGTGCAAAAAATTGCCTCCCTGGCGATCCCAAACTTTCCAGCGATGCTTGGCTGGGTGGTGCGGGTGGGCTGCTCCGGCCGCCCCGGGGGTCCCTTCAGCACCCCGGGGGCCCCTTCAGCACCCTGGCTCCCGCGGGAGGCTTAAGGGGGGGGGGGGGGGTGTCTCAGCGCGCCTGGGGATGGCACCTGCCGCCCCCCCCTCGCCCCCCGCAGCCGGGGCAGCGCTTCCTGCGGGGGCTGCGGGAGACCCGACCCGGTGCAGCCCCCGGAGAGCAGCCCCGGGGCCGCGCCGGGAGCGCAGCCCCCGGGGGCCGGGGCTCCCTCCCGCCGGCTCCGCCCGCGGCGGTCTGGAGCAGCGAAGCAAAAAGGCGCCCGTCGCTTCTCCCCGCCGCGAAAAGGGAAAGCGGAGGGGCGTGGGGGGGGGTGTGGGGGGTAAAAGGAAAGAAGGGGCCGTGCGGCGACTTACGCCCGGGCTTTGGGGAAGCCCATTGACAGCAGGATCTCCAGCGACGAGCCATGTTTGATGGTCCCCGCGCGGTGCTGCCGGTTCCGCCGGGGGATGACTTTGCTGTAGAGCTCCTCTTTGGCAGCCATGGCGTGCGGTGCGGGCTGCCCGCGCTGGGCCATCACGCAGCCATCGCCGCCCACGCAGGGCCATGCACACCCGCAGCGCCCAGCGCCCCGCCGGGGGCCGGGGCAGGGCCGCCCCCTCCGCCACACGTGTGCGCCCCACGCAGCCCACGCCGCCACCGGCGACTTCGCAAAGGCTCGGCGGGCGAGGAGAAACCGCCCGCCCCCGCTCTTAAAAGCCGCCTCCGGGCGGGCGGGGGCAGATCCGGCCGGCAGCCAGCCCCACGCCGTGTCCCGCGTGGGGAGGGGGGGTTGGGGGCGCCCACCCGCAGGCGCTGCGTTGGGGATGACCCACGGGCGGGGGGGGGTGGAGGAGGCGCTGAGAGAGGAGGGGAGGGATGCGCTGAGTGGGGCCACTGAGAGAGAAACGCAGGCTTGCTTTAAAAAACAAAAGCACGTGCACAGAGAATTATTTTGGTGGGTTTGGTTTTTTGTGTTTTGGTTTGGTTTTTTTTTTTTTTACCTTTTTTATTTTTTTGGCGGGGAGGAAAAGCTCTGCGTAATATTGAGAGAGCAGAGGAGACACAGGGTGCTCCATGGCAGCGCTGGGACTTCGGGGGCCCTGTCCGTTTCTTGACACTGCTCTGTTGTGGCAGCAGTAGTGGTTAAACGAGACGTAGTTACAGGCAGAAGAGTTGCCCTCCAAAATTTCCACCTCAATCTTGTGTTCTCCCGCATCCTTCTCAGCTCTTGCCAGGCCTGGCCTTACAATCCAGGGCCTCGGAGGGTGACAGTTCCACGGCAGGGATGTGGACGCAGCTATTTGACAAAAATGGACCCAAGACACAGCTTCCTGTCCTGCTGTGACCCACAGCTCTGCTCCTCTCCTCTGCTCCCCTCCCATGCAAAAACTACGTGTTCCTATGGGCTGGGTGTGACAAATACTGCTGTTTTCTTCCTAGCTGTACTTCAGACTTCAGTTTGGGGTGTAAAACAAGGGGTTTATACGTGCCAGGAGGCATCCTCCTCCTCCTTGGTCTTCTTTCTGACATCCTCTTCTTCCCTCCTTCACCCCACAACCGCCCGGCTTTCTACTTCGCTTTTAAAGCCAAGCAGACACCACTACTGATCTTCCCAGAGCAGGCCCAGCTTGCAGGGCTGTGGAGAACAGTGCGAAATTAAACCCCGCAAAGAAATAAAAACCATTAAGAGGCATTTTTTTTAAAGTAGAATAATTTGTGTTGGGGAAGGAAAGCAATGTTGGCAATGACACATCCATCACTACAGTTATTAGCATTAGGGATAAACAAACAGCCCATTTCCATTTTGTTGTATCAATGAAGCTGGAGAAGGGAAAAAAAAAATCCCCTCCCGACTCTTCGCTCCTTCCCCTCCCGCGGCAGCTGATTTTCTGCCGCTTTATCCAGAGGCGCGATGAGGAGCGGCCGCGCTGCAGTCAGCGCTGCCGTGCTGCGCTGGGGCCCGTGTTCCCACGGGGACAACGGGCCGGGCAAGCCGTCCTCGCGCGGGCTGAGCTAACGAGCGCCACGAAAATTAAACCTCCAGAAGGGCACGGCACAAAGCCCTTCTTGTTCGCTTCTTGAAGTCACTTTTAACTCCTTTGATGTTGCTGAGGCACTGATTCTTTCGTTTACCCCCGCTATTAATTGGCAAGAACTTCATTAAAGTCAGTGGGTGAAACCAAGAAGCGTTTAGTCATGGATTTCAGCCGTGTTAGACGTTTTGCAACCGTGAAATGAAAACCAGGCACCCAATCTATTCCATTTTAACAGAGGAGGAGAGTTAAGGATTATTATTAACAATATTTGCACCAGAACATATGTTTCCAGAGCCCCCAGAAGCGTTTGTCACCGCTGAACTCATACCCAGCCATGCTAGGAGTGCCACAAAGATACAGCTTGTTCTGGGCCTGTGAAGGGGGAAGATGAAAATCCCAAATGAAAGCTGACCCCGCTCTCCCACCTGCCAAACAAGCGCTGCAAGCAATTTCCAGGAGAATCTGATCAATGGCCAGGGGGTTGCAGCCAACAGCAATCTGTGAGGGTTGTTGTGTTTTGACTTCACTCGATATGCTTTACCCATGCATGCTTCTGCTCCAACTGTATTACTCAATCAGGAAATAACAATAAAGATGTAATTTGCTATGGAAGTAGCTTCCAGGGACTGTGCCCAGATGAGAATCTCTTTTCTGTAGCTGTGACAGATTCACGTGATCAATTAAAAAAATGTCCACATTATAGGAGTTACAATATTGAAGGTTGGTTGGATGAATTGCTGCAACTAACTCCGCTGGAAGCATTGAAGATGTTACAACAAACAAGAAGGAACAGAAATAGGATGTTTACACATCTAGGCTAGCTGAGTGTACAATTTGTAGTCCATCAGTGAAGCTGGCTGTATACTGTCTTGAAAACATTTTTCAAGCCTGCTAAGAGAACCGCCTCCTGTCCCTGTAACTTTAGTGGGTGCCTCTGCATTTAGTCTGGCTGTGCTTTTTCACATTAAAACTCCTTCACTGGGAAGCAGTCCTTTTTTTTTTTTTTCCCCCCAAATTAAATATGTGCCTTGAAATAATGCTTCCTCCCACCTTTTTTTTTTTTTGATTGAAAGCTGAAAATGAAAGCTGTCTTAGTGATCAAATAGGAAAAAGAAAGAAAATAAAGGTAGAAAGCAAATTTTTAAAAAAGCAAACACCCAGAAAATTGTGCTTCAGTCCCCCAAATTAACAATAATTTTAGTGAAAAAAATTGAAATATATGAAAGTATTGTGCCTGTATGCAATCTGTGATATGCAGTTTCTTTTAGAATGCTGTCAGATTTTCACATAAAACCTTTCTTCTTTTTTTTTTTTTTTTTTTTTTCACGTGGCCTTCTCTCTGCTGGCCTGATCCTAGAAATTTATACATGTGCTTAACTTATTACTGCTAATCATTTTCCTGACCAGTGCGATAGCATCCGGGTACCCAAAGCCAGGCAAGTGTATGAGTTCCTGCAGCAACAGGCTCGTCTGTGTTCTCTGTGCTCTTCTATTTTCCTGATTGAAACTCAAATATTATCCATTTACCTACATGAAAATGCATTCTTAGGGGATTATTTATATCACTTCCTTCAATGCAATGCAAGATTAATTGGGGGGGAGGTGTTTAAAAATGCCACACTGGACAGTGAGTGGGAGTGTTGCTATATACTTCAGTAGAAAGAGGTCAGGCTCCTAAGGAATTGGAGCCAAATTTAGCAGTCTTCGGAGGCTGATGCTACCTCCTCGCCTTCACATGCAAAGGGCTTACTCTCTCACAATAGAAATATTCTGAAATAAACAGCACAACAGCAGGAAAGAGAGTAGGGGTTTTGCTTTCCTCCTTCCTAAATTCCCTCCCTTAAAAAAAGGGGTCAGATGCTTTCAGAAAGTCCCTATTCAAGATTGTGCTTTTGAATTATTACCAACTGAATTGTGTTGTTGCCCAGCACCTCCTTTGTAGGAGCAGCAAGGGGAAGCCTGTCCCTTTTCCCTCCTGTCCCTAGAGAAGAGAAAGAGAAGTCTGCCATAAGGCAAACATTGAGTAAAAGCTGAACAACGAAGGACACAGCAAGATTGTGGTTTGCTCAACTTTGAGCCTGGTCTTGCAGTGATTTGCATGCTTGAGCCATCTTTACATACGCAGATATTCCGCATGGCAACTTGAGGCCCATTGGCAGCTGAGGGGAAGGAGGGCTACTTGCTTTGGCAAGTCCATCCTTCGATTATTTGCCTGCATGTTGAAGCGGTGTCAACACATCTTTGTGGCTGAGCATCTGAATGCACTAAATAATTGAAATTGAGTCCACCCTCAGCACTTCCCCCTCCTTTTTTTTTGTCTCCCTAGTTTCCAAATGTGAAGAAATGGTGATTTATCACTGAGAAAAATGAACAGCTGCCTCACACTTGATTCAAAACAGCATGAAAATTATTAGTCAGAGTTTTTACAAAGCTTAAGACCAGAGAAACTTCAGCAAACTTCAGCCCATTTCCTTATGTAGTTGGTAATTGCTCTGTGGGCTGTGTTTTGTGACTGCTTGGGTTTTGTGTTGTAACACCCATCTGAGCATGTTTGGAACAACTGCTGAGCCTTGGTGAAAGTGGAAGAACAACATTCCTGAGAGCAGCTTAATTTTAAAGCCTAAAACACCTTTGTCCAGATATTTTACCTGTTTGGGCTTCGATAATTGAGCTGGAATGAGCATTTATTTGTGGTTCCATCCCATAGGGACAGTTTCCTTCCTTTGCTAAGCATCCATCTGCCTAGGTACTTATGTGAGCCTCCTCTTCTCTCATCACCACAGTATTTGAATCCCTCCAGAGTATTTAAAAATAGAAAGAGCAGCTGGTTTATAGAACAGGATTCTGTATTTTGTCCAGAAGGCTGTGAAAGGACTTTCTCACCCTTTACCATATCTACCTCACCTCAAACCTCTGCCATGAGATTTGGGCTCTGGGAGGGTTCATTAGGGCTGCAGACCACTCCCTAAGGACTGAGGATTTTTTATCCATCTCCAGCTTTTATTGCCTTGAGGCTGTAATTCCAAACTCTGCTGCAGACCTGGAGGTGTGGGGGTGGATTTGGGCCCAGGGCTGGTCACAGAACTATTGGCTTCGTGAGAGAGCAGCTGGGCCTTGGGCCTGGAGGATCCAAGCTGGCCACAGGCACAGGAGAATTTGCTTTGCTAGCTTGGATTTCCTTCAAATTTGGAGCGTATTTTCATCATTACAAACAAAATCCACTTTAATTTCATCATAATCCCTTCATTTGTGCATAGAGCTGTGGAGTTGAGCAGGAGTGTCAGGTATGAGCCAGGAGGCAAAATGTCCTTCAGATATTTCACTTTGAGAGCAGAGGGCAGGAGATGATATCTAGTGCAGCCTGCCTAATTTTCAAGCCCAGTTCTCAGTGTAAAAGAAGAATAAAATAGCATATGTATTTTAAAATGCTTTGAGCTATTTTTGGTTAGAAGGCAACAGGGGATTCCACGTGAGGAAGGACTCCTGGCTTTCTTGCTGGTTGTGCCTAGCAGATGATTTACTGCACCAAATCTTCTCCTCTGGAGCCCAGTTCCCTCAGTTCAGTGACCCCGTGGAGTGAGGGGACTCGGTATGCGAGAGCAAAATTTGCCTGCCAGGAGGGATGGGAGCTTCATTTAGCACTTTTAACAGAATGGGCTTTCATGGGTCATTAAAAAATGAACAAACCGCAGACGTAGGAGTAGTGAGTAGCTGAGGCTTTGCAATGACGGAGTTCAGCCTCTCCTAACCTGTGC